AGAGAGAGAGAGAGAGAGAGAGAGAGAGAGAGAGAGAGAGAGAGAGAGAGAGAGAGAGAGAGAGAGAGAGAGAGAGAGAGAGAGAGAGAGAGAGACAGAGAATAAATGTTATCTCTCAGGTAGAGGTGAAAAACAATTATATGTGCCGTTTGGCTTGCCCATGCGTCACGCAAAAGAGGACATTTCTCTCGCCAAACCAAAATAAGAAGTTTACCAATAACAAGGAGACAAAACATAAATACAATACATTCATTGATGATTCATGTGTCTTCTCTTCCCTGTAGAAAATCGAGGAATGTGTAGCTGAGCATTCGTAACTCGTAGTTGTAGTGACCACAACTGGACACAGATGATGACATTAGATTTTCTCGTAGTAGTTGCTACCATACCAAAACTAAAGAAGATTTTTTTAATTGCTCTAGAGTAGGGTGTCCCCAACCTGCAGCCTGCGGCCGGATGTGCCTCTTTTAGGAAATGGATGCAGCCCTCACATGTTGGTTCCACACTGCACGGTGTCAACAAAGCTGTGCGGCCCTCATCACATATTTGAGCATCAGATGTATGTAGGAAGGTTGAGGACCACTGCTCTAGAGCGATAACAGGTGTACTGTAACAAGGGATAGTTCCTTGCATCATCCCCTTCTACATTTTCCTATCCAGGAAGGAAGAAGAAGGGTCATGCCTATAAAGTTGCAAGTGAAAGTCCTCTTGGACTGTGAGTTACGATAGATCTTTAATGATACTCGTGCGTGGAATATGTTTTAGTCTCTCCTTCAAACTTCCTCTGTTTCTCTTTCTTCTCATGTCATATTACGCAGATGTTTGAAGTGGTTAGTGTGTTGATATTTTCCACGTCTGGTTTGACTTCCACTGCAACCAAACAGTTTGTGAAAATACTTTAATGTGACAGTGGCTCATCTTTGGCTAGGCGTGAATTACATATAATAACTGTAGACCCGAAGAGATTTAATGTAAAATTAGCTTATGTGCATTGATATGTAAAGCTTAAGATTGTTAGAGAAGTGTGGACTGCAACCAGGACGTGATTAGTTTGAGTACTGTTGAGGAAGATGACCATGAGAGAAGCTGTGGTCTTGCCTTTCGTACAGCGCATAGCTTGTACTAGAGGCTGTAAGAAACTCCCCTCGTTTTATTCCTTGTCCCTGGTAACACTATTTCCTGAGCTAAACACGTTCAGGTTTGTTATAATCTTCACTTGAAGCAAAGAATAATAGTGCTCGAGGTCCTGCTCTCCACTGAATCTTCTCTTTGCTAAGAGATTAGGTACAAACATAAAAATTCTGAGTTTTTTCCCCTTTGTGTACTATTTACTACAACTGATTCAGCGTTACATGCGTCCGATATTTTGATAATGTTCTCGTCAAAGCTTCTCAACTCGCATATCACTGGAAAGGTGTGTTTAACACGCGAATTTCAAATGACAAAACGACAACAACGTCTTACGTTGTTTTATGCGTCTGTCGTCTATTTGTTGGTTCGTTGCCTCGTTTACCGATTCGGGGAGCTGAGGGGCAAACATCAGGCAAACTCCAACCAGCATCTGATTACCCGGAGAACAGAAGTTGATTAGTCGGACATCAGGAACTGAAGCCTCGACATGTAGGATTTGGCAGGTTGAGGGCAGCCTCAGAGTGTCTCCATCCAGAACACGATTTTTTCTGAAATTAGGAATGATGAGCCGGAGATCAGAAACTGACGAACCGGGAAACAAAAGCTGATGGAGAACCGGAGCTCAGAAGCCGATTAACTGGAGATCACGAGCTGGAGACCAAGATTCACACTCCAGACTCCACACTCCAGTCTCCACACTCTAGTCTCCACACTCCAGGCTCCACACTCCCGGTTCCACACTCCAGGTTTCACACTCCAGTCTCCACACTCCAGGCTCTACACTCTACACGTTCGGGAGGAGGGGTGAGTCTACTCACACCCCTCCCTGGTCGTTTTTGTCCATGGTGTACATATCGAGGACGAGCCTGTGTATTGGCGTGTCTCCCACCGTGTCCTTGAAGAAGAGGCCCTCCACTGTCGAAGCTCGCACTGTCTTCAGCCCAGGCAATAGCAACAGGAGTCGTCCAAAGCGAGTCGGCTGCCTCGGTAACCTCGTCCTGATGTAGTCGCTAAGAATGCACTGTGCCTGGTCCTGCAGCATCTCTACGGGATGGACATCTACGAGGCCACTAGCATCTGCCGAAGGAGGGAAAGAAGGCGCTGAGTTAGTCTCGGTTAGACCAAACAATAAATTTTTTCGCTTGATTAGAAAAGCTTCAAGAATTTTATAGAAATATTAGGAATGTTAGTCGTATAGTATTTAGCGCAAATAATTTTGAGAATAACGGCAGCACATCAAACAAAATTTTTTTGTGAAGGATGATCGTATTTTTAATACTGAAATCTTATTACCTGTAATAACTGTAAGTACCAGTGATAACTAAATCTTGCTACTACCAATAAAGATGAAGCACATAACAGAAACATTATAAGTAATTAAAGTGAGGTAAAGACGCATGTTGCTGAACAAGCATTTATTGGGAGAACTTTTCGCTCAGTGTAGAGCCTTATCAAGTCATGACTTAATAAAATCAGGATGTTTTTCCCTTAGCCTGACTGGCTGTGAGAGTTGCTCGTCAGTCTAATGATTATCGGAAGGAGGATCGAGCTCCCATAACTCCATGCGCTGAATGACACATACGAACGATACTTTTAATTATTCAAGGCAACTTTCATTTGTTTGCAGACTCATGGATTGAAAACCTAGATAATAAACTAATTTCACCAAATACAAAATCTAGTGAAAGATAATGGATTGGAAAATAAGGAATAGATCATATGTGAAAACCTAAATAACGAGATGAATATAAGAGTGAAAGAATAAAATAAGATTGGGCATCCAAAATGAGATTATTGCAATTTTGAAAATAACTGCAACAGTATTTGATTATATCCCACGAGACAAGGCTTACGAAAATAGATGAAATTAAGAAATATTCATACTCGTGTGCAGTGAGACGGAGACTCATGACTCGGAGAACGGCGATCATTTTCACCTAGATCGACACTGAACGACCATGGGCGACACGACACGACTGTGGGCCAGAACTCACCTGGTTTGAAAAGGACGACTGCCTTCAGGCAGCCACACTCTGTGTTGTCGGGAGACAGGTGTCGGAAGCGTCTCAACACATCCTGTATAGTAGCTAGCTCCAGGGCTGTCCGCTCGTCACTGCCAAGCCTGTCATGGCGACGTAAACACAGCACTTCACACTTCCGCTTAACCTATGCATTACTAGTGAGAATAACAAAACTCTTAATATATACTGATGTATGAAAATGAACTCTGATATCTGGAGTGATGGAGTTAGCAGTCGAATTAAGTAGAATATTGTAGCTACGTGGAGCGTTAAGAGTTACCTGGAGTGTGCTGCTGGGGACTGGAGGAGAGCACTGAGGTCGAGTGGGAGGTACCACTGAGCTAGATGCACCAGGAACAGCTCCTTCCAAGACTCCTCCACTAACACACACTGTGGAAGAGAATAACACACCTTCACTATCACACACTGTGGAAGAGAATAACACACCTTCACTATCACACCATGTGGAAGAGAATAACACACCTTCACTATCACACACTGTGGAAGAGAATAACACACCTTCACTATCACACACTGTGGAAGAGAATAACACACCTTCACTATCACACACTGTGGAAGAGAATAACACACCTTCACTATCACACACTGTGGAAGAGAATAACACACCTTCACTATCACACACTGTGGGAGGAATAACACACCTTCACTATCACACACTGTGGAAGAGAATAACACACCTTCACTATCACACACTATGGAAAAGAATAACACACCTTCACTATCACACACTGTGGAAGATAATAACACACCTTCACTATCACACACTGTGGAAGAGAATAACACACCTTCACTATCACACACTGTGGAAGAGAATAACACACCTTCACTATCACACACTGTGGAAGAGAATAACACACCTTCACTATCACACCACTGTGGAAGAGAATAACACACCTTCACTATCACACACTGTGGAAGACAATAACACACCTTCACTATCACACAGTGTGGAAGACAATAACACACCTTCACTATCACACACCACCACTATCACACACCATCACTATCACACACCACCACTAACACAGTGTGGAAGAGAATAACACACCTTCACTATCACACACTGTGGAAGAGAATAACACACCTTCACTATCACACACTGTGGAAGAGAATAACACACCTTCACTATCACACACTGTGGAAGAGAATAACACACCTTCACTATCACACACTGTGGAAGAGAATAACACACCTTCACTATCACACACTGTGGAAGAGAATAACACACCTTCACTATCACACACTGTGGAAGAGAATAACACATCTTCACTATCACACACTGTGGAAGAGAATAACACACCTTCACTATCACACACTATGGAAGACAATAACACACCTTCATTATCACACACCACCACTAACACATTGTGGAAGAGAATAACACCCCTTCACTATCACACACCACCACTAACACACTGTGGAAGAGAATAACACACCTTCACTATCACACACCACAACTATCACACACCATCACTATCACACACCACCACTAACACACTGTGGAAGAGAATAACACACATTCACTATCACACACCACCATTATCATACACCATCACTATCACACACCACCACTAACACACTGTGGAAGAGAATAACACACCTTCACTATCACACACCACCGTTATCATACACCTCACTATCACACACACCACCACTAACACACTGTGGAAGAGAATAACACACCTTCACTATCACACACCACCACTATCACACACCATCACTATCACACACCACCACTAACACAGTGTGGAAGAGAATAACACACCTTCACTATCACAACCCCCACCACTATCACACACCATCACTATCACACACCACCACTAAACACACTGTGGAAGAGAATAAACACACCTCCCCCTATCACACACCACCACTATCACACTAACACACACACACACACACACACACACACACACACACACACACACTAACACACTATAACACGCACCATCACATCTAACCTAACCAAAACTTAGGCTACCTAACGCAACCTACTCTAATCTGCTCTATCTCAACCGGCGTTTTTAAAAAATTTATTTTCACGTTTAGATTTTTTAAATGATTAAAAAAGCAAATTTTTTTTCCCTTTACCCCAAAAATTTTTGAAATAAATTAATCTTCGTTGAGGAAAATAATTTATATAGGAGACAAAAAAAGATGATTACTGTCTTTTATTTTCCCGACCTCCAACTGAGGTCCCCCTCAGTGGATTTTCTTCCTCAGCATTATTATTTTAATAAAACTAAAAGCGCTAATGGGGCCCGTTCTAGCCTCCCCTTCCCCGCGGGGAAGACGTTCAAGCCGCCCCTAGCCATCAGGGAAACTTTATACCCTCTCCTAGCCAGCAGTTAGACGTTTAAAACCCCCTCCTAGCCAGCAGGGGGGGTTTTCCAGCCGCCCCTAGGGCATGGGGACTTTTCTATTTTCCTAGCCAGCAAGGAGACTTTCCAGCCGCCCCTAGCGCCCCCAAGGGAGACGCTCCACCCTTCCCTTTGGGCCGAAGGGTGACTTTCCCAGCCGTCCTAGCGGCAGGGAGTTTTTTCCCAGCCGCTTAGCAGCGGGGAGCCCAATTTTCACCCGCCCCTTTGGGCGAGCAAGGAGACGTTTCCAAACCCCCTTTAGCCAACAGGGGGTTTGTTCCCCCCTCCTACGCCAAACCATCAGTCATTCCGAACAAAAAAGGCCATTGGGGTTTGCAGTTTTGAACTCAACGAACGAAAATATTGTTTGAAAAAAAACCATTAATCACTTCTTTAGGGAGTTCGGTAAATGGCTTTTTGATCCAAGGAAATGGTTAAACCCCCACCTTTTTGGTTTGGGCCCCAGATTCCTCCTTTTCCCTAGGCGCCGTGACCCCCTCAATCATTTAAATTTGCTGCCTAAAAAATATAATAAAAATTTTAATTTGACAAAAATTTAAAAATAAATAAATATTACTATACAATTTACTACTACTCTAATAATAAAAAATAATAATAATTTTAACAATAACAAATAACTTTTTTTTAAAATTAAATTAATAATCCAACCCATTATCTTTAAATTTAAAGGAAAATTTTAATAAAAAAATAATAAAAATTTAAAATAATAATAATAAAAATAAAAATAAAAATAATAATATAATTTTTATTATTATTTTTATTATTATTATTATTTTTATTAAAAAATTTTTAAAATTATTATATTCTTCCCTGGCAGACCTGGGAGCGTCGGGAAAAGGAGCAAGAGATCTTATCCATTGCCCATCTTTAAACGGGAAAGTTGGCGGGCGTTTTCCTTTTTGAGCAGCCGGACCTCTTTAAACGCTCATACAACCCCAATCATTAAAACAAGGTATTCATTGTGCCGCCCTAAGGAACCTTTTTTTTGATAAAAAATAACTGGAAATGTTCATTAGGAAACATATATATATATATATATATATTTTATATATAAAAATTATATATATATATTTATATTTTATATATTATATATATATATATATATAATTTATTTTTTATTTTTTTCAAAAAGTGGGCCCGTTCCCACGAGGCAGGGTGGCCCAAAAAAAAGAAGAAAATTCCCCAAAAAAAAAAAATTATTTTCATAAACATTAAAAACATTTTCACCTCATTTCACACTTTAATCACTGTTTTTCGAGGTGCTCAAAAAACAAACATTTTAAAGAAGTTTTTACGTAAAAAGAAAAATACCCCAAACCCCCCCTTTTAAAGTGCAGGCATTGTATTTCCCTTTTCCGGGGACTCAAGTCCGGTTATATAAAATAGCCGGTTTTCCTGAACCCCTTCCCACTAAAAAATTCCCCTGCTCACACTCCAAAAAGTTGTCAGGCCCAATCCCAAATTGTTCCATTCACCCCAAATCAAACCCCGCTCACGGGGGGCCGGGCGGGAAAGGGCCCAAACCCCCCTCCCCCACAAACCTCCTTTCCCCTCCCCCCCGCCTTCTCGGGGGACGACCCCTACCCCCCCTTTTCCTTTCCCCTACAGTTTTTAAGGGCTTCCGGGCATTCTACTTTGATCCATTCTCTCCCCAAAGAAAAAACCCACCTCAAAAAAACCCCCTCTTCAGTTTTTCCCCCTAAACTTTTTTTAAAATCCAAACCTTCTCCTAATTTTCCACACCCCAAAAATTTTCGCAAAAATTTTTAAACCCCACCCCTTTGCCCTTAGGGGGACATCCCCCTCCCTCCAACCTTTCTCCTCGCGCTGCATTTCCCACCCAAGCTTAACCCCCAAAAAAGAGTTTTGGGTATTTACTATTTCATACTTCCCTTTTTGCCCCATAGAAACCCTTGTTTTTGCTCCCCCATATACCTCAATGCCCCCCAATCCCCTTTTTTCCCCTCATCAATTCTATGTTTAAAACCTCATCCTTCAAAAATCCACCCCCCGCCCGTAAAACCCCAAGTATCTGAAAATATTCACTTTTTTCCATTTTTCCCCCTTTCCCCAATTTGAAAACCAATTTTTCTTTTTTCAAAAATAAATTTTGTCCCTTCCACCTTACTCTTTTCTATATTCACTTTCAATTTTTTACCTTTACACGCACACCAAAACCACACACACACCCACACACACACACCACACACACCCCCACAAACACACAACAACACACCCCCACACACACACACACATATATTTTATATATATATATATTTTTATATATTATATAAAAATAAAATATATATATATCCCTTTTAACCGGGGGGGAAGGGGAATAAGAATCTTTCCCCGTAAGCCATGGTTTTTAAAAAGTAAAACAAAAATGCCGGGAAAAGGGTAGAAACCCCCTTTTTCCCTGTGAAGATTTTAAAAAGAATAAGAAGAAGAAAATTTTTCAAAGGGGGGAAGTCTGAATGTGCGTGGTTGTTGTGAAATGATAAGAAAAGGGGATGATTTTTGGATGTTATGAATGAGAAAAACCCGGTGCCCGGCTTTAAGTGGGAAAAAAAGCTTTTAAAGGGGGGGGGAGAGTTTCAATTTGGGGAGGAATAAATTTGGGGTTAGGTCAGGGGTTTCAATGAGTTAGAGCCCAAAGAAGGAAAAATAGGGAAAAATGGTTTAAGGATAAGCATGGCAGGAAAAGAGGGGCCCACAATGTTAAATTCAAAGGGTTATTAAGTGGGTAAAAAAAAAAGGGTTGGATGTTTAAAAAAAGGGGTTTGTAAGCGTGTATGCACCTGGAAAAAGAGGAAGGGTAAAAGGAGAGAGAGGGGATTCTGGGAAAAGTTTTGTTTAATGCCTTTGGGGGGTTTTTAATCAAAATGTGAGATTAAAGGGGGTTTTGGGGGTTTCAATGCTAAAGTGGGTTTAAAAAAGTTTTTTGGGGGGAAAATAGAAGGTAATTTGGGGTGCCCGGGGGGAAAAGTAAAAGGGGGGGCCTTTTAAATTAGCTAAGTGTAGAAAAAAAATTTTGGGAATAAGTAATACTATTTTTGAAAAAAGAGGATTAAAAAAATATACAAGGGATGAAAGTGCCGTAATGAAAGTAGTTTGTTGTTATGTATTGGTGGATAAAAGGTTGGGTGGGGAGGCTCCAGGATGTACAGTTTTTGAGGGGCAAAATGATAATCGGATCATTATTTAGTTGTAGCTACGTTTGAGTAAGAGGTAGAGGGGGAAAAGGGAAAGGGGGAAAACAAGTAAGGGGAGGTGAAAGGTAAAACTAAGGGAGGAGGAAGTTGGGCGAGATAAAAGCGACTATTGGCGAAAGGTGGGCTTGCAAAGATGAGTAGGGGGGGGGTTGAAGGGGGTGGAATAGTTTTAAAAAATGCAGTTTAGAATGTGGGGCAGAAAGTTTGTGGTTTAGGGGGTTTGGGGGCAGGGGGAAAAGAGGAGTGTTTGGGGGAATGATGAAGTAAAGGGTGTGATAAAAGAAAAAATAGCTTCGGAGGTTTTTACAAAGCAGAAGTGAAAATAAGAAGAGCGGAAAATTGGAGAGTAAAAAAAAGGTGAAGAGGTGGGAGAGGTGCAAAAGGGAGCAATGAAAGAGTGGGAGGGACTGTCAAGAAAATTTTAATAAAAATAGAAAAATTTTGGAGTGGTTAAACAAGTTAAGAAAAACCCAGGGGGAATATGGATTTGTCAGTTAAAAACAGAGTAGGGGAGTTAGTGATGGGGAGAGGGAGGTATTAGGTGATGCGAGAATTTTTGGGAACTTTTTAAAATTTTGAAAAAAGGGAGGCGGTAAATTTTATGCCTGGCCCGGGAGGTTTCCATCTTTTAGGGTGAAGAAAGCAGATGTAAGTGTGGTGGAGGTCGTGAGGCATTCGTAGAAGAAGGGGGTAAAGCAGCTGGAATGATGGGATCATGACAGAAAGTTAAAAGCAGGGGGGGGATATAGTGTTGGAGTGGTTGGTACTTTTGTTTAATAAATGTATGAAAGAGGGGAAGGTACCTAGGGATTGGCGGAGAGCATGTATAGCCTTTATATAAAGGGAAAGGGGACCAAAAGAGATTGTTAAAAAAATTATAGAGGAATAAGTTTACTGAGTTATACCAGGAAAAGTAAACGGTAGGGTTATAATTGAAGAATTAGTAAGACAGAATGTAGAATTGCGGACGAACAGGAGGTTTCGAGTGGTAGGGATGTGTAGACAGTGTTAATTGAAGCAATATGTGAACAGTATTAGATAAAGGTAGGGAAGTTTTATGCATTTATGGATTTGAAAGGCATTGATAGAGTGGATAAGGAGCAATGGGCAGATGTTGAAGTTAGGAAAAGGTGGTAAGTTACAAAATGCTGTAAAAGAGCTTTTATGAGGATAGTGAGGCTCAGGTTAGGGTGTGTAAAAGAGGGGGGAAAATACTTCCGGTAAAAGTAGGTCTTAGAAAAGGGATGTGTAATGTCACCATGGTTTTTAATATATTTATAGATGGGGTTGTAAAAGAAGTAAATGCTGGGGTGTTCGGGGAGGGGTGGGATTAAATTATGGGGAATCAAATTCAAAATGGGAATTGACACAGTTACTTTTGCTGATGTACTGTGCTTATGGGAGTTTCTAAAGAAAAATTGCAAAGGTTAGTGGATGAGTTTGAGAATGTGTGTAAAGGAAAGAAAGTTGAAAGTGAACATAGAAAAAAAGTAAGGTGATGAGGGTATCAATTGATTTAGATAAAGAAAAATTGGATATCAAATTGGGGAGGAGGGGTAAAGGGAAGAAGTGAATGTTTTCAGATACTTGGGAGTTGACGTGTCAGCGGATGGATTTATGAAGGATGAGGTGAATCATAGAATTGATGAGGGAAAAAAGGTGAGTGGTGCGTTGAGGTATATGTGGAGTCAAAAACGTATCTATGGAGGCAAAGAAGGGAATGTATGAAATATAGTGTACCAACACTCTTTATGGATGTGAAGCTTGGGTGGTAAATGCAGCAGCGAGGAGACGGTTGGAGGCAGTGGAGTGTCCTGTCTAAGGGCAATGTGTGGTGTAAATATTATGCAGAAAATTCGGAGTGTGGAAATTAGGAGAAGTGTGGAGTTAATAAAGCATTAGTCAGAGGGCAGAAGAGGGGTTGTTGAGGTGGTTTGGTCATTTAGAGAGAATGGATCAAAGTAGAATGACATGGAAAGCATATAAATCTATAGGGGAAGGAAGAGGGGTAGGGGTCGTCCTCGAAAGGGTTTGGAAAGAGGGGGTTAAAGGAGGTTTTGTGGGTGAGGGGCTTGGACTTCCAGCAAGCGTGCATGAGCGTGTTAGATAGGAGTGAATGGAGACGAATGATACTTGGACCTGACGATCTGTTGGAGTGTGAGCAGGGTAATATTTAGTGAAGGGATTCAGGGAAACCGGTTATTTTCATATAGTCGGACTTGAGTCCTGGAAATGGGAAGTACAATGCCTGCACTTTAAGGAGGGGTTTGGGATATTGGCAGTTTGGAGGGATTGTTGTGTATCTCTATACGTATATGCTTCTAAACTGTTGTATTCTGAGCACCTCTGCAAAAGCAGTGATAATGTGCGAGTGTGGTGAAAGTGTTGAATGATGATGAAAGTATTTTCTTTTTGGGGATTTTCTTTCTTTTTTTTGTGGGTCACCCTGCCTCGGTGGGAGACGACCGACTTGTTGAAAAAAAAAAAAAAAAAAAAAAAAAAAAAAATATATATATATATATATATATCGTGGATAAAAAGACATCAAGGAAGAATATTTGGATTTCTTTCTGAAAGCCGTTTGAATATTCCTCTTTCCCTACCACTCCATCTTTTCATTCTTTTTTATCAATTGGCATATTTTATATATATATTTAATTTATCTGAATATGCAGCATTATCTTCTACTGTGTATACTTGTGTGGGTATGTATGCAGAATAGGCCTTCACATGGGCAAATATATTTTTTCCTCCTTCACACCAATGTCTGTTCCCATAGTTTAATAACTTTCCATATTATTATATAAGCACTCATATTTTCCCTTAGGCAAATACTTCAACCAGATGCAATTTCATGTATCCAGAGTCATTCACATAGGCTCACACACACACTAACTAGCCATAGGCAAGCAAGAAAAATCATGCACACTAGCTAGTCGAGTTGGATAAATCAAACACATCGCTCTTGCTTGTATGTGGCTAGTTAACTGTACACACTAACTAACCACGAACAAACAGGGACAATCACACACACTAAGCCAACAACAAATTCAAAATCATACACTAATACCGCAAGCACGCAATCACACGCTACACATTACCCAAGGACACGCAAGCAGTATCTCCCACACACTTTAACCAGCCGCAGGCTAGTAAACACAATCAACTCTCATATGGGAAGAGTGAAGCTGTAGCTTCTCCCTTCCTACCACTTCGCGACTGGAAAAAAATGTCCACCAAATCAGCTGCCTACCTGAAATATGTCCCAGGAAGGAGCGAAAGGCAGCAAAGTAGGTGCCTGTGGTAGGGACATAGCTACCTCTGACAAGCCTCCGCCTCCGGCCATGCTCGTGATGGGTAGCTTGCCGTTCTGACGGAGGGGAAAAATGAGTTTTAATCCTGAAAATACGAGTGAAGGTGAACAATACCCTGTTACACACGGGTCACTGATGGGCGAGATTAGTAGATATGGAATCGAGTCTCCGTCACCTCTTGTGCTGAATCATCATTAAGATTTCAGCGCTGCATAGAATAGATTAATGTTTAAGCCACACACACACACACACACCACACACACACACACACACACACACACACACACACACCCCACACACACATACACACCCCACACACACACACACACACACACACACACACACACACACACACACACAAAACACACACACACACACACACACACACATTTCACCAGTTAAACAGACAGCTGGCTGTAAATGCACGAGCAGCAAAAATGCACTATGGGGAAAATACTGGTTATATTAAAATGAATGACCATTCATCAGTATTAGGGAAATACATACGAAATATCAAGCATTATATAGGCACATATGCAAAGCAGGATAATAGCTACCATTGCAATAGAGGCCTCGATGTAATGACATTTGTTATCCAACCAACTTTTTTTTCCTGGCCAGTGATGTCTAAATCATATATATCTTTTTTAATAGCTGAATATACCAGTGTATTTTTAGAGGATTTTATGACTCTGGACTTTATGGTGGATCAGTGGTGTAATGTTTAGTTACGTAGGGTTGTGAGTGTGTCTGTGTATGGTGATGGTGTGTGTGTGTGTGTGTGTGTGTGTGTGTGTACTCACCTAGTTGAGGTTGCGGGGGTCGAGTCCGAGCTCCTGGCCCCGCCTCTTCACTGATCGCTACTAGGTCACTCTCCCTGAGCCGTGAGCTTTATCATACCTCTGCTTAAAGCTATGTATGGATCCTGCCTCCACTACATCGCTTCCCAAACTATTCCACTTACTGACTACTCTGTGGCTGAAGAAATACTTCCTAACATCCCTGTGATTCATCTGTGTCTTCAGCTTCCAACTGTGTCCCCTTGTTACTGTGTCCCAATCTCTGGAACATCCTGTCTTTGTCCACCTTGTCAATTCCTCTCAGTATTTTGTATGTCGTTATCATGTCCCCCCTATCTCTCCTGTCCTCCAGTGTCGTCAGGTTGATTTCCCTTAACCTCTCCTCGTAGGACATACCTCTTAGCTCTGGGACTAGTCTTGTTGCAAACCTTTGCACTTTCTCTAGTTTCTTCACGTGCTTGGCTAGGTGTGGGTTCCAAACTGGTGCCGCATACTCGAATATGGGCCTAACATACACGGTGTACAGGGTCCTGAATGATGTGTGTGTGTGTGTGTGTGTGGTGGTGTGTGTGTGTGTGTGTGTGTGTGTGTGTGTGTGTGTGTGTGTATGTGTGTGTGTGTGTGTGTGTGTGTGTGTGTGTGTGTGTGTGTGTGTGTGTGTGTGTGTGTGTGTGTGTGTGTGTGTGTGTGTGTGTGTGGTGTTTCTAGAAAATGCATGTAAATTGAATACCGTGCAGCACAGGAACAAGACTGGATTAAAACACTATTGCTGGAACTCACCTGGAATTTTTCGGCTGAGGAGAGCATATGGAGGAGCCCATGGGGCTGGGACGTGGGCACATGGGGCATGAAGATAGGCGTGGGCGCCAGGATACCCTCGGGGAACATATGAGGGGCGTGGTGCTTGAGCGAGGGCATTGGTGGAGGCGGAAAGAGCAGCGGGGGCACCTTAGACTGGTCCTGGGATGGGTAGTGGTCTGGGTGAAGCATGCTTCCGAGGCCCGCTAGTGGGCTGTCTTTACTCTTGCTCTTGCGAGGCCCCCGTTCATGTTGCACTGCTGTCGGAGACCCACGGCACCGTCACTCTACCAACCACTCACGTAGATGAGTGGGACTCATGTGCAACAGACACTGTTGTACATGTGTCTTACACATCTATTTGATGGTATTCATAATGATACAGCCACTCCGTTCACCGTCACTCTACCAGTCACTCAGTGCACCGTCACTCTACCATTTACTCAGTTCACCGTCACTCTACCAGTTACTCAGTTCACCGTCACTCTACCAGTCAGTTCACCGTCATTCTACAGTCACTCAGTGCACCGTCACTCTACCAGTCGCTCAGCTCACCGTCACTCTACCAGTCATTCAGTGCACCGTCACTGTACCAGCCACTCAACCATAGCCTAAACGGCATCATTACGATGAAAATCAATCCCCCCTCTCTCTCTCTCTCTCTCTCTCTCTCTCTCTCTCTCTCTCTCTCTCTCTCTCTCTCTCACTGAAACTGACATTTTTCAAGTACAAAGATAGCAAGAGATCATCGATAGATGTAAGCTCTATTTTGTCGTGAGTTAAACAATTTATTGACATAGTTCAGAAGGTTAGCAACTTCGATATGACGCTTGCATAGATTAACGATGAGGTACACAGTACGATATGTTAGCTAATTACGAACTAGAATGTGATACCAAGATAAGCATAACAGAGAATTTCACTTTCTCTTTTCTGTACTTAGAACGATGAATGTATTCTAGAGGAATATTAGTACACTATCAACTACCCACACAGACACACAGACAAACACAGACAGACACGGATACAACACGGGCTTTAAGAAGAGCAATCGTAAGCAATGGAGTCCCTCACAGAGCTGCCTTTGGTCCCATACTGTTCTTGGTGCATGGGAATGATTTACCAGCGGGATGGATTTCTGTAGATTGCTCAACGGCAAGGGCCAAGAAACACTCCAAAATAATTAGAACAACTTGAACGAAGGCAGACGACACAATCTCTGGAAGATGTTAACAGACTTCAGGGATGGGTGAAAGGTGGTTACTAGCAGTTATGCCTCATTTAAAGTAAAGTTTTAAAAATTGGTGCAGTGTATTGTATTAATGTATCGTAATCTCAAAATACAAAATACGAAAAGGAGAAAGTAGCACGTTTAATTTACTCTCTAGTCACACGTAAGTGTAGTAACATCAGCAGCTTATGACTAGAAAAACTCTCCACTGTGCGAAACATTGTCTAATGGCTTGTTTTGCCAGGCCTTTGCATTATCATAGTGGAGATGAGTGTTGAGGTAGCCACTGGTAACGAGAACTGGTGGAGGAGCCGGTGATAATGTGTGGTGAAGCCTTTGTTGATGGGTGTTAGGTCTCTGCTGGTTGGTCTTAGTGAGGTCAATTGTGACGAGTGTTGAAACCAGTGGTAACAGGTGATGGTGGAGGAGGCAGTGATAATGAGTGATGGAGAAGCCTTTGTTGGCGGGTATTGATGAAGCCTTTGTTGGTGATGAGTGGTGAAGCCAGTGCTGGCGGGTGTTGGTGAAGCCAGTGTTGGAACCGCCACCAGGGGCTGAAGGGAACAGATGGGCACCGCCGCCCGTAATCTCGGCCTTTTGAGCGGGCGTCAAAACTTGACCGATGACGTGCCAGCCCACCTTCATCACACAAATTGGCCGCAGGGTGCCAGCTACCTCTAGACGGGAGGGGGGGGAAGAGGATAAGGGGTGCCAGCTACCTCAAGATGGAGGGAAGATAGGATAGCAGGGGGGCGCCAGCCTCCTGAAGATGGAGAAAGAGTTGAGGTAGGGAGCTCTTAAAGACGGAGAAGGTGAATGGCAGGCATAGTGCCTACCTTAAAACAAGAGGAATGGAATAAGATAGATGTCACAATTTCTGTTGGATGAGAGGGTGCCACCTGTCCTGAGAGAAAAAGGAGAAAGCTACGTTGTATAGGAGTGCCGCTAGCTACCAGGAGAGCGCAGGCACTCAACCACTTCAGCAGGAGTGACGGTAGCTGTCAGGAGAGTACAGGCACTTAGTTCACTTACATCAACCACAAAGTGCACAAAACCAATTAATATAGAATAAACATGTTCGATACCTTGACGAAATGCATTATTGTCCACCTTAGATTATCGCAAAATTTCACCTACGTTATTAAGCACTTGCAAGGCCACAGCGGGTGAACATATCGTATTAGTAAAATATTTATTGGCTAAATGTTTTTTTTTCCACCATTTGTTGGCTTATAGCAAAAGAAAAAAATGACACAGATGTTGGAACAAGATTTAATTGGGACAACTTTTCGCTCTGTGTACAATCTTGTCAGTGAATAACCGGACCGCAGAGCGAAATGTTGTTCAAAGCCGTGTCTTCGTCTTCATAAGTTTGACACCACTTCCGGTGGTGGAGATGAGATATAGAGAGTGAGAAAGGGGGAGGGGGTAAAGATGGTGGGAAGGGGAAAAAAGGCTGTAGGAATGGGGAGTAGATGGTGAGGAAGACGGACGGGTGGCGGGGATGGGGTGTAGATAACGGGGAAGAAGAGGAGGAAAGTTGGTAGTGATGTTTACCGAGATTATAGGATCTTTCCACTGGCTGAAGATTCTTGAATAACGATGGAGTTTACGGATTCGATAACTGAGAGACTCTCCCACGTTCCTCTTACCTTTCATCAAAGTTCAGTCGCCAGGGAGCGAGGCTAAAAGAGCGAAGCGTCAAGGAAAGTGGAGAGGAAGAGCAATGGACAGTGACAGAGGACAAGGGGCGGGTAAAAGACAAGGAACAGGGTTTATCTCAAGGGACAATGAGCAGAGGCCTAGAAAAGAAGCAATAAGTGAAAATGAGCAAAGATACTTATCAATTAATTAATTATTATTATTATTATTATTATTATTATTATTATTATTATTATTATTATTATTATTATTATTATTATTATTATTATTATTATTATTATTATTATTATTATTATTATTATTATTATTATTATTCTCTTCTTTCAACAAACTGGCAGTATCCCACAGAGGCAGGGTGGCCCAAAAAAGAAAAACAAAAGTTTCTCTTTTTAACTTTAGTAATGTATACAGGAGAAGGGGTTAGTAGCTCATTGTTCCTGGGATGTTAGTCGCCTCTTACAACACGCATGGCTTACGGAGGAAGAATTCTGTTCCACTTCTTCATGGATATAAGAGGAATAAACAAGAACAAGAATTAGCAAGAAAATAGAAGAAAGCCCAGAGGGGTGTGTATATACATGCTCGTACATGCATGTGTAGTGTGACCTAAGTGTAAGTAGAAGTAGCAAGACGTACCTGAAATCTTGCATGTTTATGAGACAGAAAAAAGACATCAGCAATCCTATCATCATGTAAAACAATTACAGGCTTCCGTTTTACACTCACTTGGCAGAAGGTCGTACCTCCCTGGGTGGTTGCTGTCTGCCAACCTACTACCTAAAATTATTATTATTAATATTATTATTATTATAATCAGGAGAAAGCTGAGAACCATAAGGATCATAGAGCTCCTGGAAAACTGGCAGTAATCTGGCCCAAGCAAGAAAAATGATGCTCTGAATTATTGAATCAAGAAGCCTTCAACAGCATCCAAGCACCTCTCTTGGCGGGTGTTCGTCAGAGAAAGCGCTATCAACATCTGGAGAGGCCGCTGCTGGCTACCATCGTTACATTATACCGTGAGGCCATCACCAGTTACCCGAGAGAGTGTGTGTGTGTGTGTGTAAATCACTTTATTCACCCTTCCTTCTCATTGCTCCTCGTTTACATTACAGCAGTGCAACAGTAACCATCGTGATGCTTAACTACTCTAGGTATCCCAGAGAGAATATATACACAACAAAATGTATGACTTTCAGTGTATGCTAAGAACTTACTTTCACCTCTGTTTTAGGGATTATAATATTCTTGAAAGGTGGTGGAAAGGTTACATACACCTTTAATGACCCAAGTGTAGTCGATGGGCTTTAAACCCCACTAATCAACCAACCTAGGCACCCCCTAAAGGTCTTAAAGGGCATATATTTATTCCTCTAAGGTTTCACTGGGATCACGCGTGAACGTCAATTATGATTGTATTAAACTTAGCTGAAGGTCCGGGTTATAATGGTAGTGTGTAGGTGCCAATTTGCCAATTTCGTCCGACAATGCATATTTTTTTTTAATTTATGGCTGTAAATGGGGAATTTTATAAAGTTCTCTAACATCATTAATCATTTGTCTCCTGAGGTAACTAAAGAACGTCTCTTCTGATCGGCTTCAAATTTTGAATACCTGTGAATTTACAGGACTGTAAAACATTGAAAAAAATAACTATTATTTTTTACATATTGTTTATCTTTTTGTGTAGGAACTGTATTTATAACCCTTTCACTGCATCACTGTATTTACTACTGTGTCACCATATTTATCACTATCAGTGATTTAAAACAGCGAATTATTAAGGTTCTTATCTGATACCGGGTGTGTGTCAGGGTGTGTGTGTGTGTGTGTGTGTGTGTGTGTGTGTGTGTGTGTGTGTGTGTGTGTGTGTGTGTGTGTGTGTGTGTGTGTGTGTGTGTGCGTGTGTGTTGTGTGTGTGTGTGTGTGTGAGTCAGGGTGTGTGTGTGTCAGGGTGTGTGTGTGTCAGGGTGTGTGTGTGTGTGTGTGTGTGTGTGTGTGTGTGTGTGTGTGTGTGTGTGTGTGTGTGTGTGTGTGTGTGTGTGTGTGTGTGTTTGTGTGTGTGTGTGTGTGTGTGTCAGGGTGTGTGTGTGTCAGGGTGTGTGTGTGTGTCAGGGTGTGTGTGTCAGGGTATACTCACCTATTTATACTCACCTATTTGTGGTTGCAGGGGTCGAGTCTTAGCTCCTGGCCCCGCCTCTTCACCGGTTGCTACTGGCTCCTCTCTGTGTGTGTCAGGGTGTGTGTGTGTCAGGGTGTGTGTTTTATATATCAGGTTGTGTGTGTCAGGATGTGTGTATCAGGGTGATTCAGGGTGTGTGTGTGTGTCAGGGTGTGTTTGTGTGTCAGGGTGTGTATGTGTCAGGG